CATAAAGGGGGAGGCCAGAATGAGTGCATACAGACTGGAAATCTTCAACATCTGGAACCCCACTGGCACATATCAAACATACCAGAATAACACATGAAGTAAATGATTTTATATTAAATATGGGATCAGATCACATGACACCCCTCCTAACTTTTAACAGACTCTTCCAGGTCAACTGTAACTGGAACGAGGTAAATATGGAGATAGATAAATACTTGCATAGCGGTCTCGTATGGTATACGGATGGATCTAAAACTAACAAGGGAACAGGCTCTGGCGTACATGGAGTTAAACCCAAATGCGACATCATCGTCTCACTTTGAAAACATGCCACTGTATTTCAGACTGAAATACATGCAATCGAATTGCGTGTACGAGAGAATTTAAGAAAGAAGTACAAAAAACAAACCATCCTAATTCTCTCAGATAGCCAAGCAGCCTTAAAGGCTTTTGATTCAAACAGAATCAAGTCAAATCTTATCTGGAACTGCATTGGAATACTAAATGATCTGGCAACCCACAACAAGGTAAAACTAGCGTGGGTACCAGGGCACAAAGGTATCCAAGGAAATGAAAAGGCTGATGAACTCGCCAAAGAGGTTTCAAATCTACCATTCATAGGACCCGAACCTGTATTTGGGATAAGCAAAACCTCTGCTCAATAGGCAGTGAACAGGTGGATAACCACAAAACACCAAATTCACTAGCAACAGATAAGAGGGCACAGAATCAGTAAGCTTATGCTAAGGAGACCAAACCCACGCATGGCTACTGAGGCACTACAACTCGCAAGGCCTCAGATATCCACCATTGTGGGATTACTAACGGGACACTGCTTGCTGAAACACCTTTATGTGATGGGATTACACAATGATCCCACTACATGTAGACTCTGCATGGAAGAGAAAGAAACCTCATACCATGTGATCTTCGAATGCGAAGCTCTTACTAGGCGACGTTTCACGCTTTTCGGCCTAGAACCGGAAAGGACGCCCCAGGAACACTTGGTAGGGAATCTATTAAAACTAATCAAAGACACAGGACTATTTCAAAGATATTACCTGAATACGGGGGAAGCAGGGGAATACAATAGACCCAAGAGGCCGCTGTTCTAGGCCAAATCTAACCCTAACTGCTTACAACCGATAAAGATAAAGATCAAGATAAAGACGACTTCAGCAGAAAGGGAGTAAATGTCACATTAATATCAGGCATAAACGCCATCGGAAATTCCATACCTCCTATATTCATTTTCCCTCGGGTAAATTTGCTGAAAGGTGCTCCCACTGGTAGTGTAAGAACAGCGAATCCGAGCGGATGATCCACCACGGATATATTTATGTTTTTTTTTGCGTTATTTTGTTACACACAAGTGAAACCAATAAAATATTGCTTATCCTAGATGATCATGAAAGCCACATTTCTGGGTAAAGTTTAAACTATGCCAAAAAGATGGGAAGCGTTATGCTCACTTTATCTCCGCATACGAGTCACAAGTTTCAGCCTTTGGACCGCACAGTCTTTGGTCCTCTTAAGAAGTACTGGAATACTGCTTCTTAGTAATAAGTTCAAACCAATGACAATATATAATGTGGCAGAATGTGTTGGCAAATCTTATCCTAAAGCTTTTACCTCACAAAATATGCAATTAGGTTTTAAAGTAACTGGAATTTATCTAATCAATAGATACTTTTGCTGATCATGAATTTCTAAGCTACTACGTAACGGACAGACCCATTATAAGGACTTCTGCGGATAAACATTCTACTCCATCAAAAGCACAGGAAGATGAGCCGTCTAGTATAATAGATGAAAAACTTTCTACCTCAGCAACATCACGTCATAATGAGATTTGTATATCGGATGTAAATATATCTGCTGCTTCAATATTGATGACTCCTGAGCAAATACGACCTTTCTTAAAAGCAGAAGCTAGAAATAATTCTAAACGTGGTGGCAGAAAACCGGGTGGGTGCAGAATATTAACTGATACACAGGAAAAGAATGAAATTGAAGAAACAGCAAATATCAGATAACAAACAAAAATGCCCAAGAGGATACAAAAAGTGAAAAGACAAGTATCGAGTAGCAGCTCAGAAGATGAACCAAATTTTGAGTCAGATTATAGTTTACAGGATGTAGAATTTGGTGTAGTGGAGGAATGGGAAGATAGAGAAGAATTATGTGTGAATGACTTTATACTTGTTCGTCCTGCTGGCAAGAAATCGTATAAATTTTATGTAGCTCAAATTATGCAAACAGGGAAGTAAGAAAGTGGGAATAAACAAATTTATATGCAGCGATGAAATGAATACGATTTACAAAGTTCAGAAGTCATTCTGAAGTTACCTCACCCTGATATAACTGAAGGAACAGAAAAAAGGCGACGAGAGAGGGTTTTTCATGTAGATATGACAAATGTATACACAAATGTATATCCCAAAGTACACATGAGTGTTGTACCCTGGGACATTTTTAATTTTTTATAAAAAGTATCAGCATTTTTTTTAATGTATTTTTGATAATTTTATAATATACTTTAGGGCACTTTGTACATTCCAATGTGTTACGTTGTAATCGTCACTCCCTTTTAATAATTACAATATTTAATTAGTTCAAATATTCCAATATATTCTAATACTTTTTGAACGCCCCTCGTATTTGGAAATATAGATATTATGTTGAAACGGGAATTTGTCTCTGTCTAAGACATTCGATAGCTCAACCAATGATGCGCTCTCTCTAAAAATCAATAATTATTGTCAGATGTTGTGCGCGCGCCTGGCTTACTTATGGATTTGAAATACCCACGTTTCATATTCGATCGGCTCCTGTTCTTTTTCAATCTAGCAGCGAAATTAACTGGTTGATTTTAGTGCTTTGTGTCCGAATAAACTAAGGTAATCTCGAATTTTTTTTTTATAATGAAAAGTAGAAATTAATTTTATTGTGTGCATATTCTGCTGAAATTATCTTTGAGTTATCTCTTTTATTAATAGTGAGCTTTTCGCGTAATATAAATTCCAAAATGTACAAAATGGCTGCCATTAATTTTATATTTTTTCTTCTGTTATTTAAAAAAATCTTTCCATTCTTCATGTGTTTTAAATTAAATACTATTGCAAATCTCTAATATTGTTGTAAATTTAAAATGTTTAATTTAAAAATGTTTAATTTAAATTGTAAGTTTTTTTGGCTGACCACATGTGTTGTTTTTTTTTGAAGCAATGGAAAGATACGGTTTTTTTGTTGTAACTGACACGTTTTTTCTTTCTTAAAATTAAGGAACTGGATCTGGAACAAAATAAGGAACTGGATCTGGAACAAAATAAGGAGCTGGATCTATGACAAGCTAAGGAGTTGGCCTTTGTAATCTGGAACTGCAGAATCATTGTCAGCTAGTTGCCACTAGAGCTGCGGAATATCTTGGACTGAGTTGCGTAAGGAACTGCAGTGCTTTGAAGTCATCGTAGGCTCACCTACCATTAAGAAAAGGAACTGCAGTGTTTTGAAGTCATCGTAGGCTCACCGCTCACCTACCATTAAGACACGGACCAGACCAGTTCGACCGTTGAAATCCGGAAACACAAGATAAGTGTCGACCAGGACCACACACACAATTTTTGAGTCACTAGTCAATTTTAATTTTAAACTCATCATAAGTCAAACGTAAACCGTAAAATGTGTTAAAATCAATTAATTTTATTTTCTTTTATATGTAATATCAGTCATCAGTCAAGTTCGAAATTAAAGCCGATTAATTGTTTTGAAATTTAAGTTCTTTTTTTTTCCTTACTTTCAACTGACAAGTTAATGACAAAAATTTACTTTTATTATACATCTAAAGGTATGGCGCCCAAATTAATTTAATTGAATTATTTTAAGTCTTTTTAATTAAAGACCTTGTCATTGACTTGAAGGTAAATTCTAAACGAATCCCACTGACCTATTTTGATCTAAGCTAGGCCTGAGGCTTGTAAGAATCCTTATTATAAGAATTTTTACAATGAGACCCAGGTAAGGGTTAGAAACGTATCATCTGGTGCAAAATATGTTTTTATAAAACGTTTATTAGTAAAACGTAACAAATGTATGTGCGCAAAATAACTTGTCTAGAGTAAGAAATAAAATTTTAAAAAATTCATGAATTTTTGTGTCCCAAGGTAGGCACACCTCCCCTACCTAACTGATTTCATAATCTATAATAATGAAATACATGATTACGATACAAGATCTAATAATAATTTTTATATACTACAAACAAGACTATCTCTAACAACAAAATCTATTTTTGTATACGGATTGCGTGAATTTAATTCTTTACTACCTGAAATTAAAACAAGTACCTAAATAACATGTATGTATTGATATTTTTATTTTATTTGAAAAATATATTTTTTTTTAAATTTTAAAATTTTATATGAACTTTTAACATTTTTTTTAATTAAATTTATTTGTACTGACTAATTTGCTGTTTTCACAGTACTATGTATAAGGACTAGAAAAAAAAAGTTAACAAGGAAGTATACGGGTAGTAAAGAGTGACCCAATTTTTTTTGCTAAGTAGATCATGACCGGCCAAGAGAGATACGAGACGTTTCCGTGATAACTTCACACCGCTTTAAATTAAATCCAAATTGACATTTGATTTGTACGTTCCGACATACGTTAATTTTTTTAACCAGCAATATTTCATTCTGGTCCACTACATATCTATACATATTTGTAAACTGTGACGTGTGTGTTATTACATCCCAAGCAAATACAGTCCATCGTAAGAAATCGTGTTTGGTGTATTTACTTTACCTAAACACATGTTCTTTTGGAAGAATTCGAATTACTTATTACATTTTTGCCTTCTGATCATAATACAAAATTGATCATCTTTTCAAAAAAACATTTAGCTAATTTCTGAACAGAATTTATTTTTTTTTATTTTTCGTAGCCAACAAAACTCAGCAAAAGAATTATTTAAAATACTTAAAAAAAATTGGTCTTACCTGCAAATGGCACTTTGACTATACGCAGGCCCTTCGGTAACACTAAGAGCTTGTCCCACTTGAGTTTGTGTTAATCCTAGGGATAACCTTCTTAACTTAAACGCCTTGGCAAAATCTTTTATTTCGTCTAAATTGATACCATCTACTACGTTTGAGTTTGTTTGATTTATTGTAGGTTGATCTGAAATAAAAGTAATTTATTTTTTATTTTTACACTTTCGCATATAGGCATAGTAAACATAAATCTATAGGTATTAATTATTATTATTAATATATTATTATAAAATGATGGTACCTCCAACTGAAAATGTATATATCTCTTCGTTAAAGGTCAATGATGTATCCAAATCGTCAGATGCCTATGCCTATGCCACTGCTGAAGGGCTGTCAAGCGCTCTCAAATTTGTAATTTTTTTTTGTTACTGTCGTCTTACGTTTTAACATAAATTATCTTGGAGACATTTTTAAACATATTATAAACGTCAAGCGAACAGGCCGCTATAAATTCCTTCTACAATACCGCGAACTTCCGGTCAAAAATATTTTTTTGTTATGCCCTGTTGAAAACATCCTGTTTACATGTTTAAGATTAGAAAGTGGAGTTTTTTGTGTGCCTGCATCAAACAAACCCTTTTTCCTGCACTAAGGTAAACGGAAAAATATCAAAAAGGAAATAAAGTAGAACATCAAAACCACAGCATAAAATTTATTAATAATTTACGCCACTGGTTTCGGCCTACATGGTAATTTTCAGGCCTACGTACAATACAAACAACAAGGATGATAATAAAAGTAAAGGTATAAATACAAATAGTTGGGTAATTTTTTTTTTTCGTTAAATACATTTTTTATTTTTTTCTTAAAATTGTTGAATCATTTAACATATTAAAACATGGAACAACAATATTAAAAACCAACCCTGAAGCACGTTTGAATTCTCTAAGTCTAAGTCACAGCATACGTCACAAGTCAAGTGAACACTTATTTTTAAAACGATTAGGTGTGTAAACGCAAGCGACGCTATCTCAACCCGCTTATTTCAGCTAAGGAGCATTAAAGTATCGGAAACTCCCACCAGAAATACTTCGTTTCGCTGTCACCGGCTCTTCCATTGAGCTAGGCGCTATTTCACCATAATTATCTAACTTCGTAAAACTAAGTAGTAAAAATAGAAGTACAGGCCAGAGTGTGATGAATTTGCATATTTAGTGTTTTTATCACAATTACTAAATGTAATCCAGTATTGCACATTATATTTTTAATGAATGTACAATATTAAATGGTGATAAACGTTGCCAGCATTTCAACTCCCACCAGTAGAAGGTAACTCAGCTTTAGAGTCCATTGTAGATAAATAATGATGTAGATTGTAGAATATGTGAGGGGTAAGCACTTGCCCAGCATACAAATTATTTAACAATTACCATACCATTAACTTACTGATTCTGGCACATTGATATGGATTCTAAGATTTACTAGATTTACTAATTTTATGTAAGTAACTAATTGTATTTTTACTTTCATTGTTAATTTTATTATCATCCTTGTTATTTATATTGCAGGCCTAAAGATATATGCTGAAACTACTCGCGATACTTACTAATAAATTTTATGCTGTGATTTTGGGCTTAATTTCCAGTTTGATATTTTTCCGTTTAATTTAGCAAACGGAAAAGAAATGGTTTATCTGGTGCAGTCGCCCCAAAAAATTCCAGTTGCTGATGTCAAACACGTTATGTAAACAGGGCATAACAAAAACATTTTCCACCAGAAGTTCGCGGTATTGCAGAAGGAATTTGCAGCGGTCTATTCGCCTGACGGTTATAATATGTTTAAAAATTTCTACGAGAATCCATATACATATATATTTTTTACTTAATTTTTTTTATGTTTATGTACCGAAAGTTTTAAACTTACACTGACTTTATATTATTTTTTAAATAAACCATCACATTTTTCAATAAAATTCAATTTTCAATGGTCTGTGGGACTTCAAATAAAAATAATATGAAGCACGCCCAGATCGAATTACGAGCGAGCGGACGAAAAGTTCGCTGTATTGCAGGGGAATTTTTCAGTAGCCTTTCCGTCTGACGATCATAATATGTGTTTATAAAGGTCTCTCAGACAATATGGTAGAACGTCAGATGGAGATTTAAAAAAAAAATTCAACAAGAAAATTTCAATTTTGAGGACGTCTGACACCCCTTTAGCATGGCTTAGCATTTGGCGATTTGCATACCTTATATGTGACCTTCAAAGAGGTGATATATACATTTTAAGCCAGAGGTACGATCGTGTTTTTTTCCGGTACTTTTGACAACTTTGATTTGTCAATCGTCACGTTTGTAGGGGTTTTAAAATAAAAATCCTGCAGATGACACTTCCTGATGGTCCCGCTAACCACTTCCCAAAATTTCAGCCAGAGGTACGACCGTATCACCTGGAGGCCGCTAGATCTCTTAAACTATTAATTTAATAAATTTTTATTTGTGTAGTCGGGTAATAAGTAATTCCGCTTTCAACATATTTTCGGAACAATACATATTTTTCGTTTGCAATTAATAGAATATTTCAGCTTTACTTTTTCTAAACGATTAGTTATCTAATACATGACTGAACCCGGTTCAAGACGCGAAAGAGACTGAAAGAGTAGATTGAAACCACGTTTCAAGTACATTTGCATCAATGTTTCCGTGATAATCCCCGGTCTTTCGTGATTCAAAACCATTGAGCCCACCTTAAACAAACCCGATATCACTGCCAATAAGCGTAATTATAAAACGGCGCCCTTTATGCGAAGGTGATTTCTGTTCCGTAAAAATCACTTGTAAGAAAGCATCTTGCTGATTTTTAATTTCTAAGTCTTGCCAAGCTTTTGTAACATCGATTAACCCAGGTTTCGTTCACATAATAAATGTTTTCCTCTCATTGCGATATAAATATATATACCGCGATCTATATGTTACCGTATATAGCCACGAATCCCGGAAAAAAGCGCAAAGGAAATAAGCGCACAGGAAATATCCGCACAGAAAAAAGCGCACAGACATATAAACGCACAGGAAATAAGCGCACGTTGAAAGATGTGCACACGGAAAAAAACCGCACGGGTATAAAAGCGCACAAGGAAAAAAGCGCACATGGGAAAAAGCGCACATTGAAAAAAGCGCAAAGTACATGTAGTTTATATCTCGTTAAGAATAGGATACAGAACAACTGAAGATTCTCTGAATAAAAATAAAAAAATTAAGTTCTATGAATACATAGTCAAAAATTATATCGGTGTGAAAAGTAACCACCAAATATGCGGATGTCATATGTACATTTTGTACGTACATCTCGGGTCTGATTTGATTAAAAAAGGTTCGAAAACTGTGTTCAAATTTAAATATTATAATTTACCTCTGACTGATCTTAAGTATGATATATTATAGTGTTAAGCACCAATTATGTATTTTAAACATTTTATTTGCATATTTTTTATAAAGAAAGAAATTTTTTCAGTACCTATATGGCAACCTATTACACATTCTTCACATTTTTCCACTGTCTATAATTAACGCAACGTAGTATAGAATGTACTTTTACCTATATTTTAATTTACCTGCACTAAACAAACTATTAGCGTATTTTTTTTTTATTTTTTCTTAGATAATTACCGAAATAAGTAAAAAAAAAAAACTAAGCTAACTTGAAAAACGTACTAAATAAAGTAACAAATATACCGTCATACTAAATAATTCTTTAAAATGCCAAAAATTGTACGACTGTACTTTAGGGTTCCCAACTTGAGCATGTGTTATTCCGAGACAGATTTATTTAGAATGTATTGTTAGAGAAAAAAAAGCGCCGTATCTACTCAACAAAAAAAACTAATATTTATTATTGACAAAAATAAACAAGAAACAACAAACAACATATTTTTGTTGAGATCTAACTGCTTCAAGTAATTTTTTATTGGTTTTAACCAGATCCAAAAAGTCCTGACACTTTAAATTAAAATTTAGTCTCTAAAAACACTTTCTTAGAAGGCATTGCCGACAGGTATCGACATTAGGTAAGACATATATTTAAATATTGCATTTAAGTTATCACTATATGCTCTAGAAGCACCCACACTAAAAATCAACCTACTTTTCCATTACAATTTTCTCAGAAAAAGATTCGAGATTTTCAATTATCTTATTGACTAATATATAATTCGTCTTGACTTGTATCTATTTTTATTAAGTCAAGAATTAATTGTAATTTCTGCCAATCTAGCCTATTATTTTTTAATTCCAAACAAGCTAAACCTGCCAGAAAATCAAATAACTTAAGACCTTTCTAAAAAGCATTCTGCCTGTCTTTTAAATTGAATCCTGTTACGTTCTGTAATTTTTCTTATCATTCGATTTGAAGAATTTCCATAAAATTTATCGGATAGTCTTTGCTCCAAATTACTTTTAAATTGTTCATTGCCGAATGTAGTTCTATTACAGTGGTTTCATTATTTTCTAATTTTAATAATTTTCTTTAAAAAATTACCAATACATTTTGAACAAAGTAGGTTGTGCAAGAACAACTGATTCGTCGTCATCTTTATTAAATACGTCCCAAATTATTTTGGAGCAATTTTCTTCTCCTTCAGATAAAAAAAATATGATTTAATTGCCGGCCAGTTTAAAAATAACCTATCTATTGCTGGCAACAAAGATAGCCATCTGGTTGCAATATGTCTTAATAAATTCCCTATATTCTAATTCCACAAACCCAAAAAAGCTTTTTAAAGTATTTACTCGTTTGACCGAACCTGAAAATTCGTTATATAACTTGATAACAAAACTTTCAATATCAAAATTTAATCCTTTGCTGGTAAACTTTATTTTATTATGAAAAATGTGACATTTACAATTACCAGCAATTAGTTTACTGTTCATAGTTTTCAATTTTTGAAATACCGAACAGCGAACACCGAACAGCGAACACCGAAATTGACAGATGCATTACCCCCACTATAGCCAGTAATACACTCAAGGCTGAGATTATTATTTTGTAATATTTTAATAATTTGGTTGGCAATAGCTTTGCTAGTTTCGTCTGAATCCGCATACAAGTCAAACTCCCCGAACAACGTCTTCACTTCTAGAAAAAAAATTGTATACATAAGGGAAATAGTTATATATTGCCCCTATTTGA